GGAGAAGAGAAGGCTGAGGGGGGACCTGATCAGTGTCTATMAATACCTCAAGGGAGGCAGYGAGGAGGAGGGGGCCGGCCTCTTTTCAGTGGTGGACAGTGATAGGACTAGAGGAAAGGGCCACAAGCTGAGGCACCAAAAGTTCCACAGGAACTTAAGAAAACAGTTCTTGACCGTGAGGGTGCTAGAGCCCTGGCACAGGCTGCCCAGAGAGGTTGTGGAGTCTCCTTCTTTGGAGATCTTTAAAACCCGCTTGGACGCGGCCCTGTGCCATGTGCTCTAGGTGACCCTGCGTGAGCAGGGGGGTTGGACTAGATGACCTCTGAGGTCCCTTCCAACCTTRGGCATTCTATGATTCTATGATCTCACCTCCCTTCTGCAGAAAAATGCCTGGACAATGKTGCACTATTTCCCTTTGCCTTGGATTCTGTCTTGGTGCCTGCACCGGTACATAGCACAACTCTGAAAGTCTGAAGGGAAAAATGGGAGTACCCACAATATCCATAGGAGAAGCAACCCCTATGAAATGAGAATATGGGAATGTGGGATCAAATGCTCACCTTCTGTCCTGAAGTTTCAGTTTCACAGAGGCAGAGTAGTGGTGTTGGTGCGTGAGGGAACTTTATAGGAAAGCACAGAAAATATGCAGAGAAGTAGGGATTAAAATCTTCTTCAGCATTTCGGGTTGACTGGTTTAGATTATTCCTGTGTATGTGATGCATAATATGAATCTCATTTTTAGTTATTTGTATTCCTGTTTATCAGAAATTGAAGTGTACAGAACAGGCACGCAAATTCTGCTCTTGCAAACAGACACCTAAACAATAACAGAAGCTAGTTCATAGCTTTTATGTTCAAGTGTATGAAATCTTACATTAGTTGGTTCCAAATGAAAATAACTAAGTCATCTTGAACATAATATGATGAAGTGCATTRATAGTTAACTTCTGCTTGTAAAACATTCCTTAAAAAATATGTTCAGGATATCAAGCTTGTTTATTATCACAGAGTCCATGCAGTAGGAAATCAAGAAGATATGCATTAAAGACTGCAAGGAGATGAGATAATTTCATATATTTTATTTCTCCTGTATTTTAATTTGCTTTGTAGTGTATTTTCCTAAATTTTCATGGTTTTATTGATAGCACTGTATCCAGTAAGTCAGTAATCACAGATGTATATAGTTAGTGGGTCGAAAAACTTTTCTGTAAGTTCCTTCTCATTGTAATGGAGATCCTGTGTTTCTTTGATTTTATGAAATAGTCATAATAGTATTGTGCATATTATAGCAAGGCAATCAAATCTCAATTATATTAATTTTCATATTGTTCTCATTCTTTGAATTTCCACATCATTTTTTCTAAATATTCATTTGAATATAAGGGAATCCACCAGACAAATACTTCTCTTTGTGTCACAAAAATATTGCAAATTTGCATTGCAAAGAACTAAAAGAGAGAAAAAACTGTCAATATTCTATTCAAACTCTATCTAAACCAGTGCAGAGTGAAACTGAGCAAAAAGTAGGATGAGGATGAAATAAAAAAAAGGACTAGTGCACTAAATCCCATGTTAAATGACTGAATTGAGTGTGATACTGTGATATTTGCAAAACACGGTGGAAGTAATTAGCAGGTTTAAATTTGATTGTTTTTAATTTTCATTCAAGTCTTGTTTGGCAGAATATTGCCTGCAGATTTTTCCTTTTCCATTTTTATGATTACCGTTCTGGGCAATTGTGCCCGAAAGGCCCATCTGAGATCACAACATCACTATGCTTGGAATTATGTAAAAATACATTGAAAGGCTGCTCTTCTCCAAAATACACAATTCTGAAGTAACTTAAAGAGAGTCATACAGCAGTCTAGTAGAAAAAAAATTATTTCAAGCTAAATCTATTGCTTTCCGGACTAGCAGTCTTACTTGTAAGATTTATAAAACATTGCTTCTGTGCACTTAAAATCAGTTCAGATGCACTGGTTAATTAAATAAAATTAAGAATCATAGAATCATAGAATCCTTAAGGTTGGAAGAGACCTTTAGAGATCATCTAGTCCAACCCCCCTGTACACACAGGGACACCCAGAGCACGGGGCACAAGGCTGCGTCCAAGCGGGTTTTAAAGATCTMCAAAGAAGGAGACTCCACAACCTCTCTGGGCAGCCTGTGCCAGGGCTCTGGCACCCTCACTATCAAGAACTGTTTCCCTAGGTTCCTGTGGAACTTTTGGTACCTCAGCTTGTGGCCCTTTCCTCTAGTCCTATCACTGTCCACCACTGAAAAGAGGCCAGCCCCCTCCTCCTCACTGCCTCCCTTGAGGTATTTATAGACACTGATCAGGTCCCCCCTCAGCCTTCTCTTCTCCASGCTGAACAGGCCCAGCTCCCTCAGCCTTTGCTCATAGGGCAGATGTTCCAGGCCCCTGATCATCCTCGTAGCCCCGTGGTGGACTCTCTCTAGCAGCTCCACATCCCTCTTGTACTGGGGAGCCCAGAATTAGACAGTACTCCAGTACTCCAGATGTGGCCTTACCAGGGCTGTGTAGAGGGGGACGATCACCTCCCTCAACCTGCTGTAGATGCCCTTCTTAATGCACCCCAGGATCCCATTGGCCTTCTTGGCCACGAGGGCATACTGCTGCCTCATGGTCAGCTAGCTGTCCATCTAAAAAGATGCTAAGACTTTCACTTGAGATGTGTTTTACATACAGACAGATACGGCTTTTTTGCTATTTCTTCACAAAAGCAAGCACAATATTAACCATTCCAAATCTTTCTAACACAGATGGTATTTGCACACTACAATTGTATACATTGGACTGAACGTATTTACCACATTTTATCTCTCGATTTCAATTACACTTCTATATCCAACTTCGGTCCCACATTACCTCCTCCATTTTGGTCATCACGACTCTTTAGGTAAATGTGTCTATGATATAGTCACTAATTCCTCTGTAAGTCCTAAATGTGTATCCAAGATGGGTCTAAACTTGCTAGTTCTCAGACAGTGCTATCAGTCTAGCTTGTGCCAGCCTTGAAATCAAGGAGCATTATATTTACATTATTTCTTTGGCTGTCGTCTTCAGACTATGGTAATACCAAAAATATTATGCTGATAGTATTGTGAAAGTGTTCAACTATATTATAGTATAGTTCTATATATTCAACTATATAGAAGCATATTTTCAATATACAACCTCTAAAGAAATCTAAAAATATTACAGTATTAAAACTTATGAGAAAGCTGAGTGGCTTTTGGCCAAGGAACTTTTCCTGGCCTTTGAATGATGAAATTTGTGAACAGTAGCTTGTGTATTGAGAACTTTTTAAAATGCATAAACGTAAAAAATAAGCAAACAAAAAAAACCCCAAAGATATATTTCTCTCCTACAATATTTTTCTCTAACTTTTGTAACATAAAATAAGCTGTGGCATTAAGCTGTTAAGTAAGTGAAAAGTATTTGAAAAACAGCCTCCACTGCACAAATTCTTTTAACAAATCAGCCTATTCCTTAAGATACTGGAGGACTATCCATATGTTTACCTGAGGTGTTCTTAACTAATGGGTGTGGTTTGGATTCTTTTTGGTGGAGACAGTTAAAGTACTGATAGTTATGGTAATGATTCATGAATTGTGGACATCTTGTTCAATAATGCAAACTTCCATAACAGTTGTTTCTTTTTCCTTCAGTCTAACTTAATGTGTGGTAGATATTGATGAAAATTGCTGAACTTCTGCTAGTTAAACCTTAGGAGTTCAGAATAGAGGTCATTATTCCTTTTCATCTTGAGAAATGAACTGTGCTTTAGCTATGAGCAATATTTAACTGGATTTCCTTCTTGCCTTACTATGATTTGATCAAAAATATGAATAGGTTAAAAAACAGTAACATAATTCTTTATCATAACAAACAACCTACATCTAACTGCTGCTTAAGTGATTTCCTACTTATAAAATCATTTTTCACTATTAAAAGTGTATGCATATTTTTGACATTTATATTGTCTGATATACCTAATGAAAATCCAGCAGCAAGCTAGAATAATGACTGTTCATTTCACCTGCATCTAAATAAACGTATTTAAATGGAAGGAGTAACCTGCTGGGAGGTGGACTTTGCACATCTATTAACAAAATAAAGTGCAATTCAGTAGTGTGAGGTTTTGTGAGGGCCAACAACATTTTGTTTTGCTTTTCCTTTTTTTCCTCTTTACAAATCATTCCCAATAATAATCTGTATATTTTAATCTGAGATAYGCCAGGATGTGATCTCTTTGTAGGAAAAATAAAAAACAAGTGGACCTGTGTTCATACTGTTAGGGATTTTGTTTTGTTTTATTATTTACTTATTGATTTATTTTTAGGAAGGTAAGTCAATTGTGCTTCCCCTGTCTTTTCTCTTTTCTGAACTGATTTAATAGAGAAAATAGTTCTGATAGAAACATATTGATTTCAGTAAAGAATGGTATGTTACCTGCCCTGCTCTTCTCACAGTGGTCAATGATATTTAACTGGTGAGAAATGTACTCTAGTTGACACTTACCAAACAAAAGCAGAGATGTCTTTCATTGTTAGAGTTTGTTCTCCACATGGCCTTGAATGTTCATTTCTTTGACATACGGTAATGGCTCATTCTTTTGCTCTGCAATTTCTAGATGGCCTGGTACTTAAAATGTCAATATTGAATTTCTAAGCACAAATCCACATATGATTACAGTAGAGCTCTGCTGTCAGTGCATTATATTAGGAGCTCTGTTGGATATTTTTTGTCTATAAAAATTAGAAGTTCAAATTTTACTTATTAGCAGCATTTTAAAATGTATCACCTTGGTTTTATTGATAATAATTGTTATTTAATATAATTCTTATGAATCTAGATTGAGCCTAAGTGAAAAAGAAAAAAGTGAATTATTGCTGGGAAAAAAATAATCCAAAATCATGGTAACTGTATGCTGTGAAATATAATTCTCTCTGTTCTTCTCTATTCTTTATTTAAGGGTTAAAGCCAAGTGACCCAACCATGACCGGCAAAACGCAGACCAGCAATGTCACCAATAAGAATGACCCAAAGTCCATTAACTCTAGAGTCTTCATTGGCAACCTGAACACAGCCATTGTCAAAAAAGGTGACATAGAGGCGATCTTTGCAAAGTATGGGAAAATAGTTGGCTGCTCCGTGCACAAAGGCTATGCATTTGTACAGTACATGAGTGAGAGACATGCAAGGGCTGCAGTGGCGGGTGAGAATGCCAGGATAATTGCAGGGCAGCCCCTAGGTAAGTGCTTGTTTATACCACTCAATTATCATTATCTTTTTCCTTTCTATTTAAAACTGCTAGTAATCTGCTGCTAGTAATCTTAGGGACTAAGAAGTGTATTCTAGCACTGTTTTGTGTGTATTTCCAGGATATTGGATCTGTCAGAATTTTTGACACTGTAGATGTAACCTAGATATTACAAAATGCCTACTGCTACAATTTGTTGACTTATTAAATACATTACTTCTGACTTCCTATGTTTCACAATATAATACTATTTCAGTGAACATGATTGCTCATATGAGGAAAATATAAGTGTTTTCTCTGAGGCTCGAGTTAATAAATTTAATGTGATATAATGAGGTTAGTCTAATAGATGTGGCTTTCTGGCATTTAATGACGCTAAAATGAAGCAAAGTGTCATATTTTAGATAAAAGCAAAAGAATGAGTTCTGCTGGTCCTTGACACTGTACCAAATCAAGCAATAATGCTGTTATTTGTTTAGAGAAGTTTATTACAAAAAGTTTATGTTGAAGCTATTCTCACATAATGTGGTAGGAACTATTCTTCTGAACTCCATAAAAAAAAAAGAAGTGTAATTTTGTTTCTTTCTGTTATTAATTCTTGTTACCAATACTCTGTTGTTAATTCTTGTGGTGAAGTCTGGTAGRTATTTTGGAAATTATTACCTCTAAAGATACTTGCTTTTAGATAGGGAAGATCACCTGGAGGACAATTCTACCTCATCTGTCACATGTAGAATAACAATGCACAGTACAAGATGTTTAGTAGGATCCAGAGATCTTTCACTAGACTTTCTGAACTATAATGCTCGCTCCCTAACTTATGTGTGAAGTGGCTGTGTCAGGAGAAAGTAAAACGTAACTAGTGCTTTGGCTGTAATAAGTTGTAAAGAATGGACATGGCTTATTCACTTTCAGTTTCTCAGGCTGTGGAAATCTATTTTTCTGAATATTTGTAGAAAATTAGATATTTTGTGTTGGAGATGGTACTGTTTTGTCGCTCAACAGTAACTTTTAAGTTTTATAACCCATGTACTTTGAGCTCAAAAGGAAATTAGATTAAAGAAATCCAATTGCATTACATGGGAGATTATTTTATATATGTTTTATATATGGATGAAATGAATACATGAATTTATAGTTTTATGTATGAATGAATTAAAAGAACTGAAGTGGTACAAGCAAGGCAGGAAAAGTCAGTCTGTGGGATGGCATTATTAGAAGATGTTTCCTGGAGCAGTGGTCTCTGAGCAATAGGCCATGTAATGCCATCAGTGGATTACTTACAGCTCCTTGCACACTGGTCTGACCAGATTTTGTAAACTATACTTTCCTAAGGCTATAGATCTTTTTATTATCACTACTAAAATTTCTGTTGCTTAGTTTTCTTTTTGTTGTTTGTTCATTTGTTTAGTTTTTCTTGCAGCATGTATAATAAGCGAAGTGTACTATATATGTCCTTGCTCTATTCAGTCTACTTACAAAAGATAGGTAAATTTGGTGAAAAATGCATTAAGGGGGCAGCAATTACTTGAATTATTTGAAATTTTAATAATAGGAATTTTATTTAGAACTAGAGTTCAGCTGTTTTATGTTAAAATAATTTGACTCTGCAATGTAATGTGATGGCATTTTGCTTGCAGTGACACCTGATATATCAAAGAGTATAAATAARTATTTAATTACAGAATCAGAAAATGATTGAAGTTGGAAGGGTCCTCTAGAGATTGTCTAGTCCAAACGTCCTGCTGCAGCAGGGATGCCTAGAGCACATGGTACAGGGTTGCATCCAGGTGGCTTTTGAAGGTCTCCAGAGAAGGAGACTCCACAACCTCTCTGAGCWGCCTCTTCCAGGGCTCTGCCACCTTCAAAGTGAAGAAGTTCTTCCTGTCATGCAGATGGAACTTCATATGGCTCAACTTGTATCCATTGCCCCTTCTCACTGGCCACCACTGAGAAGAGTTTGGCCCCCTCCTCCCTTCATTCTCCCCTCAGGTATTTGTACATGGTGATGAGATCCCCTCTCAAGCTTCTCTTCTCCAGGCTAAACAGGCCCAACTCACTCAGTCTTTCCTCGTACAGTAGATGTTTAAGTCCTTTAATAGTCCTTTGTAGCTTTATGCTGGACCCTCTCTAGAAGCTCCACATACCTCTAGTACCCTAAGGAGCCCAGAACCCTAGTACTGCACCTAATGCTCCAGATGTGGCCTCACCGGAGCCGAATAGAGGGGCAGGATGCCCTCCTTCCACCTGCTGGCAACACTCTTCCTGATGCAGACCAAGATCCCATTGGCCTTCTTGGCCACGAGGGCACACTGCTGACTCATGGTTAACTTGCTGTCAATTCGAACTCCAAATATAGATAAAAGATAAAATATAAAACATAAAAGTGCAAGATAAAAAAATGTTCTTTAAGTAATCAAAATCTTCTTTACTCTTTCTCTGTATGAAATATTATTGTCATCAGCATTTCTTGATGTAGGAAAAAGGTTTGGTCATAGTGGTATGTTTCATTAGAGGAATCATTTCTAAGATTTCTTTTTGTTAGCAATAGACATTATAAGTTGTCTCAGAATAATGAAGAAACAAATGAACAGCTATACTGGAGAAGAGCTCTCTATATAGCCATAGAAGACAAACCAATATGCAGAATTTGCTGGGTGTTAGGACCAATAAAAATAGCTTATGTAGAAACTGTGTATATGAGGAGAACAAAGTAACATTAAAACCACTTGATAAATCACAGCAAAAAAAAAAAAAAAAAAAAAAAAAAAAAAAAAAAAAAAAAGCCTTAGATTTTGATTATGAGAGTTTTGCATTCTGAAATAAACAGAACACATAATTTTACATCAACACTCAAGGTTGTGGAAAGAGGACAAGAAAAAACTTTGACATATACAGGATTAATACCTAATTAGCACAGCTGAATTTTCATAGAATCATAGAAAGCTTAAGATTGGAAGGGACCTCAGAGGTCATCTAGTCCAACCCCCCTGCTCACGCAGGATCACCTAGAGCACATGGCACAGGACTGCATCCAAGCGGGTTTTAAAGATCTCCAGAGAAGGAGACTCCACAACCTCTCTGGGCAGCCTGTGCCAGSGCTCTGGCACCCTCACGGTCAAGAACTATTTTCTTAAGTTCCCGTGGAACTTTTGGTGCCTCAGCTTGTGGCCCTTTCCTCTAGTCCTATCACTGTCCACCACTGAAAAGAGGCCGGCCCCCTCCTCCTCACTGCCTCCCTTGAGGTATTTATAGACACTGATCAGGTCCCCCCTCAGCCTTCTCTTCTCCAGGCTGAACAGGCCCAGCTCTCTCAGCCTCTGGTCATAGGGGAGCTGTTCCAGGCCCCGATCATCCTCGTAGCCCTGCGCTGGACTCTCTCCAGCAGCTCCACATCTCTCTTGTACTGGGGAGCCCAAAACTGGACACAATACTCCAGATGTGGCCTCACCAGGGCTGAGTAAAGGGGGACAATCACCTTCCTCGACCTGCTGGAGATGCTCTTCTTAATGCACCCCAGGATCCCGTTGGCCTTCTTGGCCACCAGGGCACACTGCTGCCTCATGGTCATCTTGTCATCCACCACGATACCGAGGTCCCTCTCTGCGGGGCTGCTCTCCAGCAGGTCCACCCCTAATCTGTACTGGTGTCCGGGGTTATTCCTCCCCAAKTGCAGGACCCTGCACTTGCCCTTGTTGAACTTCATGAGATTTCTAACCGCCCAGTCATCCAGTCTGTCCAGTTCCCTCTGGATGGCAGCACAGCCCTCAGGGCTATCAGCTACTCCTCCCAGTTTGGTATCATCAATACCTTTTCCTTTATATGGAACTAGAATTTATCTATAATTAAATGAGTGCTGGATGATAGTCAGTTGGACTTACAAAGTGCAATGAAGATATTCTGCAATATCCATCCCATTAAAACCTATGGATTTGTATTAATGGTATGTGTTATGATGCCATCTTAATGTTTCTTCTGAGAATTGTTTAACTGGCATCAGCATGAAGCTCAGTGCAGTTTCTTCTTGAGATATTATACATTTAAAGGAATAGTAGACTTTCCTGGCACATGCCAAAGGAGGAAAAGGTCAGAATTGAGCATGGACATTTGTTCCACAATGATTAGTTTGTGAACTGTTTCAAGTTAGAACCAAGAAAATGCTTGTGAAATCACAAAATCTGAAGTTCTTTCCTAGTTATGGGAACATACCCAAAAAATTTACCCTAATTAAATGACTAAAAAGCACTATTGTCCATTTGAGTAAGAAAACATTCATCTCCTATTCATCTCCTTGCCGCATAAAGCAAAGGGACAAAGAAAGTGAGTAGGAATTATAATGAGGAATTACTACATCTTTCCCATAAGCACTACTGAAAGGATTTCCACCCATTCATGAGGACTAGAGATCATCTTGCTCCAAATTGTGGAGGAGCATGTCCCACTACAATGAAAGCTTTTGCTGTGTGATAAATATCAGATTTTTTCCCAGAATATTTTCTCATGCCTTTGCAGTCCTTCACAAGCATCACTAGAAATACTTATTAGCTGTTGAAAATGTCCTAATGAATACAAATTCTATAAAGACTAATACCATGCAGAAGCACTGTAATGTACCATATCTCCGTATTATATCTTCTCATTTACACTAAACACTTGAGAAATCACTTTCACCTAAAATGATGGCATAGCTATCATAGCAACCTCTTTATCAAGAGCGTTCCTTTCGTTTGCTTGGTTTATATTCATAGTCTTACAGCTTTATAATTATGTGATCTATTTTTTCTTCTTTCACAATCAATTTTTATACCAGCATAATTCCTTTAACATCAAAATAAGTGTTTGATTTCCACAAGGGAAAGTTAAGAGCACCTAGCAGATAAGAAAGCAAGTCAAATGTCACACGACTAGTAGTTTGGCCTCTATTTTCTTTTGTTTGTTTGTTTGTTTGCATGTTTGTTTTTTAAGCCACCATGGAGTTTCACTAACAGAGG